TCCACTTTATTACCACGTTGCCAGGGTGTTTGCGTTGATGGTATTATTTCCATTTCAGCATCAACTTTTTCTTCTGAATGAGAACATGACAACTTAACAAATGATTTGCATTCTAATCAAATTGAGTAATTATTTCACTTTTGTTCCAGATACTATATAACAGAAAGTGACCAAGTCAGGCTTCCTTTTAGAGGTACAAAATGTTTGCTGTAGAAAAANCTCATATTACGTGAAAAGTGTTGTTTACCTCTGGACTTTTTAACAGGTGCACTAGACGGAGATGCCTCTTGAGGATCCAACTCCGGAGGTGGTCGTTTGAGTGCCAACTGAGTGCTAGCCGCATGACGCTTTTTCAATCTTTCAATATTTTCACGATGTTTACGACCGTTCGAATGTGCTGTCCAAATTTTACTTTTCACCTTCAATTGGGGATAAACTTATCACAGATTCAGTGGGTAAATTTTGAGTATCGATGTTAACTAAGAATGAACCCTAACTAAGAAAATAAAGAAAATTTTCCAAATTTTGCCATTTTTAGTGAATTCTTTTCAGCGAAATGACATCAATACTGTGCGAATTGATTAATAGTATCAGTCGATTACATAGTTCAAGTTCGTCACCAGAACCGTCAGTTCAGAGAAATCTCTTGAAGAGTTCACAAACCTGAGTATTGCAGATCATACATAAAAGATTTCCATTCTTAAGATCTTTTGCTATTGCAGGATTAATGCTCACTTTCAAGGAAACACTGCTCATCTCGGTCACTTCTCTGCAATCATTCGTAATGATTAATTTCAGAGCATAACGACCTCATCAATCGTCAATTTGAGACACACTTACGGCAACACATGGTGCCCTTCGAAAGACATTCAAATACTTTAATGAACTGAATTGAAACTGATTTTGAAATGAATTCGGAAACAATGTGAAATCCTTTGCCACTCTGTTAGAGATGCAGGCAAGCGTTTCATTGTTAAACTTTTGTTGGCACCTCGTCTCATAGTGCTCACCCTTCCAAATGGTCAAATTGGTTCAGTACAGAATAAACCTCATAGTCAGCGTGAGACTGGGATAAACCTCAACCTGAGTTGGAAGAGATTTCGAAACGTAGTCCATCCAGAGTGGGACTGAACCTCAGCTCCGCTAAAGTAACGATCATTCTTTTCGCGAACTGCTTCGAACAGTTTTCAAAAACTCGCCCGTATGAGTTCGACCGACTTATACGGCTCGTTTCAGCAATTGCCGAAATGACCCCAATTCTCCTCTGCTGAATGTAGAAGCTTTGAGATCTTTTTAAAAATTGCACAAATCAATTTTATCAAAGGTACATATCGAATGTTTTTGATGATAGCCACTTAATCATTATTTATCGTCGTGATGTTCTGTTTGAAATTGATCTACTGGGAAGTAAATTTCAGGATGTCGGCA